CACACTCATATGGAACACGAAATTTGATCAAGCTGGCTTTTATGCAGGACTAAGAGGGTAAACACGGACGATGGCAGATCCGCGATTCGAGGCTACCCGGATCCACAATCCAAACGGGATTGTTTTATCATTATCCGAGTACATCTTAGACAAAAGGCTTTCGGTGTATCGCGAAGAGCAATCTGGAACGTTTCAGCTACAAAGCCAATGAAAAGTAGCTTCGTCAGGATAGACAATGGACAGCTATCGACTCCAACTAGTACAACCCTCCCCACTTTTCACTGTGCGCGCGAATTACTTAATAGTACGATCATAAACAGCTCTCTAGTTCTCATTCCGGGTCCAAACCTTCGATCTATCATGAAGAAATTACTGACCAGCCACCATATGGGTCGACCAGACACACGCTACGCTATCTCCATGATAACTGTCCGAGTGTTTCTTTTTCATCTGAACTCATTTGTCTATCAGATGAGAACAAATTTATGCATAGTGAAAACCTCACAGACATACAGAAAAGTTACCCCGGAGTCATGGTTGCTCACTCACTTTGGTACATTTGTCGAGCACGCATCTACGGTATTTCTCTTTTCTTTCGTGCTGATAGACAGGAGCGATTCAAAACAAAATGACTATCACAGCGTTTCCAGTCGTTGCAAACACGGTATGGTACACAATAAACGCCCCGGTTACTCGAACCAATATCAGAGAAAGGTCGAATTCCGTAAAACCGTTCAACTATAGGGAAGTTTTAGTGAGTTTTACCACGCAGAAGAGGTGGCGATGAATGGGTTCAATGAACGACACACACACATGCCCATACAAAACGCATTACAGTCTTTGACATTGATAAAACAAAAGAACGTTCTCTTCTTTGTTCGGTCGATTCAAGGGCCAAACTAATCTGCATGTCCCGCAAACCATATGCTAGTTTAGTTGCAATCCCAGGCTGTTCCGGGACCATCGGTGAACGCTCTGAGGTCACCTATTTGTTCACTCTTTCGTTAGACAAGGTGTTGGCCCGATTCGTACCTAGGCACTCCCAAACTCTCCCTCTGAACAGAGAGGCAATTTGTCCGACGAAGTAAAAAAAACATAACTTGCTCTGTCCGACAGTTTAAATCCGTGACCATTTTGCTGGATACCGTTCCCCATTCTGGTACAACTGTCCTTGGCAATAAATCATTGCCCCCTTACCGTCCTGAAAACAGTGACGTTCGCCGTGGGGAAAGGGTTGTGATACACAAAAGTTGGGGAATTCCCCGGGAATGGACAGTCAATTAACCAATTCCAGATGCAAAATTTTTTTGCACCCGGCCTGAATTTGACCAATTTCTCCCCGGATGCGTCTATACAGTCACTTAATCATCATTCTATCCCCGGGTGAAAATCAGCAACCGGATTCCGCCGATTCATTAATCCGATCTGATCATGCATGTAAAAGATTAAAATGACCCGGGTTAGGGGGGGGGGAGAGTCAAATAAGTTAATCTTGAAAAGTACCCTGAAGGCAAATTAAATTCGCGACTGACAAAGAACGCATAAAACAGCACTGTTCCATTGGACAATCTAATTTTGCCAGAAGAGTGAAAACACCATAGGGGTTAATATTGAACACAGTGACTGAAGAAACGCATTGGAATTTGGTGGTCATTTTATCACGAAGGGCCTCTCTAACCTCTAGTTTAGTTTAGTTTATTGGTTCGGTTATTAGCAACTGAACAACAACAACAACAACAAAAAACAATTTGCACAATTGAAATTCTAAATTAGCAAGGGTCAAGCGATTCACATCACTCATTCCGGTCCCCTCGAGATCCTAAGGTTTCCAAACCGGGCACCGTCATTTCACTTCATCAACCAACTAAGTAAGTAGATCGATGCTTCACGGCCCAGGGCATACAATGCCAGCTGACAAGATCGGGGGATTTACCCGTAGTTCCGTTGGTCGCAGAAGGCGAGTTGCAACACAACAGGCTGTTTCATAGGATACGTGCACTCTAGGTTCAATGTTTTATGCCCTATGCGGAAACATGGATGTGATGAGCAACAACAAACCCGTATAATCTGCTTCCCCAACGACACGAGATCCGCTTTTTCACAACATGTATTATTTGTCTTCATCAGCCTCTGCGTTGACAAGATCAAATCTACAACAGTTCGAACGCTGGATCAATCCTTGATGATCCTACTTCGAGCTTTAGTCCCGTCCCGTAAGGGAACTACAAGATTTGGACTTTTATGCAACGTCCATCAATTTACTCAAACCGTTGCCTTAACATACATCACCATGCCATTGAACATGATCTGGATATTATAGCAAAACATTAGAAAACGGCATCGTGAGCTGAATTTTAACTAACTGTTCGATAATATTATCTGGGAAGCAATTTATCCGTTAACGGGTGTTTTGACTTATAAGTGATTGGAACCTTTGAAGCAGTTACCTGTGGACGGCTTGATTGATTGACAGAGGCTATCAGCTAGCCCACACGCACGCACTCATGCTATGCGGACTCACTCCACCACCGTATCGATCAGCTCCACCCACTTAGTTGTTAGTACTGAACTGTTCTTGCTCACTAATTTACTGACTATTTCAATGCCTGCTTGACGATATTCGCACATCATGTGACACTTGAGTCAGAGGGTTGGCTTGTCTACCTAACTGTCTTTCTGTGTGTTACCCATTCCTGTTTGCTCACCAGTCCATAGATCGGCTACGTGAGTTTATTCTACAATAAACATATTGTTTAATTCATTACGTTCTTATCTACCTAATTAACCTGGAACACAACATAACAGCCAACTAATGGAACCGCTGACACTGCCATCAACCCTGAAGAACTAATCGCGGCGGTGCCAGTTGAACCGTGTTTCGGAACACCGAATTGATGGGCCTCATTCAATACACCCCCTGGTGACACATTTGGCCCGTAACAATAGAACTGTAATATGCAAAACACAGAGAGGAAGAAAAACCAAAACTTCCAACAGTGGGAATGAGGATACAAAAAAAACAAAATTGGTTTGGACGATGGTGGTGGTCCGGTGGTACACGCAAAATGAAAATATCACCCCTGGGCGGGGCGGGGCGGGGCGGGGCGTGCCATCGAATCCCACCACCACCACCACCACCACCTGAATTTCCCCCATTGTGTTTGTGTTGTATGGCAGCTCCCTTCGGGTGGGCCGCTTCCCAAGTCTACCTGAAAATGGTATCATTATGTATTCAATAGAGTGAAGTAAGAAAGAAAAAGAAAACAGAGCGGTGTTGTTGTTGCATGCAACTTCGCTTCCCCTCTGGCTCCATAAACATATATATATATATAGAGAGAGAGTTTGGAGAAAAACTTCAAAACACTTTTCCGACATAACAGACGGTGCTGAAAGTTATCGGGAGTACAAGGAAAACAAAACGCGACTCAGTGGTGGTTGTACGTACAGATGCCTATAAAATGTGTGTTTACTTCACCAACGTGGACAAAAGCAACCGGTGAGCAAGTTAAGCGTTGTTAGAGTAACGTTTCACCGCGCTCATTTTCCCCTATTTAGGGAGTGGAGGCGGGGACAGGCAATGCCCAATTGATCCGAAACCAATATTTACCAAAAATGATGATTAAACTGCTTCGCGGTGCAGGAGAATCGGTTTGTAACGGAACGAATTAATCACTCAATAACGAGTAAAAAGTGAGAACACGAACCGATTTATCTCCGGTTGTCTCCCGGATCGAACTCCGCGAACGTGTTTGCTACTTGCATTGACAACGGTACTTTCCAAAGGAACACATTGAATGTGATTAGTTGACACATTTAAAATAATGAACTTATACGATTAACACCGTAAGCTTCAGGTTCATTTCAATTGATATATTCTCGCTTATCCAGTAGACTCAAGTGATGATCAAATGAAGCCTGAATCAACTTTGAAAGTTATCTATCGACTATCACCTCACCGAGCCAAATCGTCGCGTCTCTCCACGGCGGAAGCGATCGGCATTCGTTTGTTCACATCCATTCTATGTGCACAAAACAGACTGGCACATACAATTCAACTGCTTTGACCGAAGACCGATCGCACGGACGGAGCATCATAAGCTGATTGCAGTGTTATGATGACCGATTGTGGTGTGAAATACGTCGCACCACTCACCCCACATGCTCCTCACTTACTTGACTTTACTGAGTCTGCCTCCTTGGAAAGGATAAGCCGGCTCCAGACATGATCATGATCATGAATTTTTTTAGGAGTTTGGTACGACGGACGTCCCCAGCGTCACTCGGGGTTTTTCTATTTTGAGGGCACACCTTTAGCCTTTGCAAAAGCAAGTGCGAACTGCAAGGCAGAGAAGGAAGTAATCCCTCACCTCGGAAGTGACGGGGTCAAGGATTTTAGTTTTAAAAGGCCACTTACATCGACCTTTGTCACGAAACCGTCATTGGGCTTATGCGGCTTTTAAACAAGAGCCAGATGACCGGCCTGAAACCCACCACACCTTGGTAGTGCTGTCGATGTTTAATCGCGACTGCATATTTGTTGCGGTATGCCTCAACTTATTCACAGCGAAACCTTCTTCGGTGAAGGTATCCCGATATCGACAACCCGGGGACGCTGCTGATAGCATTTAGTTCTGCTCAACCCCGAGGGTATCTACACCCCTCTCCTGCCTAACCAATCGCTGTGACTTTGAATGATCGAATGTCTATGCTCGTGGGACATGTCATTTCCTTGCATGATCTGGACAGGCTAGAAGATGAAAAACTGAAAACAATTGTTCGCTTCTGAACCTGTGCAGGCATTCATTCTTTTTCATCCTCTAGGCGAGTTGACCTAACCGCTGGTTATGGCAGTTCAATACCGAATGCAGTGGCTTGGGATGATTATCGTGGTCACTTTCACAAACGAAATCACACTGCCAGTCACACACACAGACAGATAGAGCAAAATGTAGTCAGACCAACCGAACTTTGATCACCGATTGGAAAATTTGGAGATTAACTTACACAGCCACTGGTTCTTTGAATCGTCCTTCGTGTTGTATCCGATACATTAGGTCTCCACCGTTCACATACTCCATGACCAAATAAAGTCGATCCTGAAAAAGGGAATCAATTTCGAAACTGTTCTCTCGTATTTACAGTTTTCACACAGTTCGGAACTGACAGTGTGAATCAACCAGACAAGTTGATTGGGCCAACCAAATATATGTTCTTCTATCGAAAACGTATTTGAATGATAAATTGGAGTTCGAGATATTAGAAATAGAACATTGACCCAAATAAAATTGGATCCACACCGAATCGGTCGTTGGGATTCCAATCATCGAACCACCACAATATCCATAGGGTCCTCTTTCGCACACTTCGCCCCGATCTATCACATACATACACACACATATACAAACATACCACATGTGTGAAGCGCAACCAACGGAATTCACAGAAAACCAATCTCCCGTTGTTTGCTTCGATTGCGCACACAAGGACACGTAATACCAACTCGGTTGTGATCAATAAGCAATTCCTCCCCCGCCCCGCGTTTTTGAAATTTACTCATGAAATGCACTTGCCCTCGAGTCTATCTGAGTAGCACTCATTTACGAATTTCGAGGTGGGCAAAACTCATTGAGAAATTTGTGCACTCGCGAATAATGTTCCTCTATCGGACTCATCATCGGACTCAACCGCACACACGTACAAGCGCACAGGCACACACGAACGGTCACCTGTATTGTGTCCTCAGTCAGTACCGGTACTTTATTTGCTCTCGACACCCATAAAGCGGCTTATGGTTCACCGCCTCGTTTTGTTCCTCGGAAATTCTATTGTGTATTAATTGCCTATCAACAGACGGGAAATAACATAATCCTCATTTCTCAATCATTATCGTCCTTTTCTCAGAATTGTTTCCCCAATTGTGTTTTGGCGATTACACATACGCGGTTGACCGGAACCAGTTAAAGCTTGACACCGTCGAGTTGCGTGGTCCTGCGCCCGGGAGCAGATGACCGAAAAACTCCGTTGTTGTTGCACCGGAGCGGACTTTTGACGGAAGAATATTATTTACAGGCTGAGATAACAAATAGTGTTCTTTTTTCCTGGTTTGTGCAATACATCCCGGCAATTTGTGGATCAGGTTGAATGCCAGGAGAATGATTTCCGGGTTAATTGTATCGCCAGCGAAAAATGTCTCCGGTCGACATGGGATGAACATTATCGACTGGGGAGGAGTTGAAATTGGCATTCCACGTTTTTTTCTTTCTGTTTCCTTGCCATGCACAATCTCGGGGGTAGAAACAGGTGGCTAAATGTGCCCAGAAAGAACCAATTCCTGTGTCAGTTGTTTGTTGTTTTTTTCATTTCAGAGGACATAAAACATTCCTGTAAGCAGTGAGTCGCAGACAGTTTATGATGCATTTCAGCCAGATGCTATTTTTCGTCGCGTGATGATCCACTTTTGGCCAGGTCACAGGGGTTGTGCACCGGGAGAGCAGAAGAATCAAAGAAGATAGCCGTCTAGGTCAGCGATTACTGAAACTGCTACCTTATCGCTCATGTGGACAATGAAACAGTCTTTTGGGGGAAATGATAAATGAAGCGTTATTTTATTGTATTGATTTATTCAGGCACTTGTATGCTTAAATTTCAATCAAATAATGTGTTTACCTTTGGAATGGAATAAACGAAAATGAAAATTCATATACAATCACGATAGACAGATCACATTTGCAGGTTTAAAATTAGTTCGTTTCAGATCTTCACCGTATCAGTTAGAATACGAACCATATAGGGAACCGTTGAATTGTGATAAACGTTTATGTGGGAGGATAAACTGTGATAACTGGATCGGGTGGGAAAGTGGGAACGGCAAGCGAACCACTGCGGTCGTTGAGTATCTACTTATGGCAGGAATTCACCTATGAAGTAGCATAAAAATTACACAATTTTGTGATTAGAGTGTGTTCCGGGGAATAAGAGAGTCACGGTTGGTAATTACTAAACGGCGACGAACAGTAATGAAACTCTTCTTAAGTAGTTCAGGGAAAATAACGAATGAACGATAAGGTATGACAGAACGAATGCAGTGATAAGCAAAAGAACATACAGTTTCATGCCACACTGGAAATTGTCTTAGAATGCTTATCTGGAAGGACAAACGACGCAGTCTATCAACACAAGCTAGCAAATGAGAGATTGTTCCTATTTATTTAGTGGTGTATGTTCTGCTGATAATTTTTGAGGATTCCTAGGGATACTCGGAGGGCGGGATCGGTATCGAGCATTTCGATACAAAAAATTTATTTATAAAAGGGACATTAATCAATGAACATCGAACTTCCTACGATTCAATGGGTGACAGTTTCTGTCGTCCTCATGGTGTGACAGAAGTTATGGCTGTGCTCAACCATTAGGTGTGTCAAAGTGAATTGACCAGGTTCTACTGTGCTGATTTTGATAGTCTAATTGGGATTTGGTGTTTTTAACCGGAATTCGATCTGTTTGGATATACTGTGTTTATGACTTTCAAATCGTCATCATAGATTCCTGTGATGTAAGCCATGATTGCAGTGGATGTGGATGTTCTGCACCCATTGCTGCCGTCCAGGTTTTGTTGTTTTCGGGCAGCTACATCTC